CCAACCCAACCCAGTTCCCTGTCCCAGTACATGTGCTGTCATTCTGGTTTCATGCTCCAGCTCCTACTGCAAGGGCTCAGCTGCAGGACTAGGACAGTTTCCATACCGCATCTCACCAGACAGCTCTATGCAGTTACGGGGCGTTACCTTACAACAGCTTTCAATAAACACATGGCTTCACGCCCTTGCATCTTCTCCTAGAAAGCGGGGGCAAGGAGTTGGCCAGCTCGCGTAGACCGTCTGGCCGTCCCACCTACCAGACCACACCGCTGGCTGGCTCCGACCCGAGAGCCTCACCGCGACCAGGCACTTACGCTGCCCAACCTGCCTGGGGATGCGTCTCCCCAGCCTCCTTATTCCGGAGGAGGGGAGCGACATGCGCGAAGGAGGCGCGACGTAGCAACCAAAGCATCCCCAAATCTTCTATTTAAGCACAGGGACGGGTGTGATCAACTACCAGCTCAGTCATTAAAAAAAAAAATAAATAATTAATTAAAGCAAAGCGAGCTCCTCCAATAGCTAACCTGCCTGGGGATGCGTCTCCCCAGCCTCCTTATTCCGGAGGAGGGGAGCGACATGCGCGAAGGAGGCGCGACGTAGCAACCAAAGCATCCCCAAATCTTCTATTTAAGCACAGGGACGGGTGTGATCAACTACCAGCTCAGTCATTAAAAAAAAAAATAAATAATTAATTAAAGCAAAGCGAGCTCCTCCAATAGCTGGTCAAAAATAGCTTTGCTCTCCCTACAATTTACTTCTCCCCCAAGCCGTCAGAGCAGATTTATATTGGCAGTCAGCGCTGCTGGCTTTAAACGCAGCAATATATACATACGCTTACGTCACTTTTTCAATCCCTTCTTAAACCAAAAAGCAAACAAAGAGCTCGTGACAAAATTCATACAGCGAGACAAGCCCCAATTCTGCTGCAACACGAGTTCCGCGGTTTTCCTTATAACGAGTAACTTTACCCCCTTGTTCAGCGCCGCTTTAGCCAGCTACGCACTAGCTTGCACCTCTCAGCTGTGTGTTAGTAATTCTAGCACTCGGTTCACGTTGCATGAAATACCCCTTGGCAAACCTTCAGGCAGCACAGTAGATCAAGAACATGCACACACACAGGCACGCGCAAGTTTTAGGTCGCTATATTTATTCCTTTGGTGAAATGGGGCAATAAAGTCTGTTTTACAACACAAGTATGGCCTGGGCACAATCAGTCTCTTCTCAAAAATACAGAGGGAAGAAAAGCATATTAACTTATTAAACCGGCACTTAAAAGCAGGTGGGCTTTGTGGTGTCAACACACTATTTGTTTGCACACTATTATGTGTTAGCAGAGAATCATTACAATAATTAACACCCTACTTTAAAAAAAAAAGACATTTGCAAGCAATATACTTACAGTAAATAATACAGGCTAGTGCCATGTTTCTCTTAGCAGACGCATTACAAAAATCCACGTCTCTCATTACCTTCTTAGTGCCTAGTTCGCCACCTTGCACATCTTCTACATGAACACATCAGCAAAAATTAAAATACTTTTTTGAGAAAGCTATAAAAGCCATTATCAGACAATTACCATCTAATAATTAAGAAAAAAAATTAAAGTCACAGTTCCATAGCTACTGCGGTTTTTAAAGGGTGTTCTCCAGCGGTCTAAACTGAAAGCTGCATCAAGGATAATTTAAATACAGAAACAGCAGAGTATGCAACAGGAAGAGTTATTTTAATTAAGTAATACTTAAGTCCATTGCGATGGTAGTAACATCGGTAACATCAAGGACCATCAACTGGTAATTTTGGTGCTGCCCTTCTGCAGAGAGCCCGTGTCCCTAGACAGCACGACCTCAGCCCCAGCAACGTAACACGCGTTGTACCACACTAACCTGCCCTTGCTCTGCTTCATCTCGGAGTATTGTAACCTGGCCTGCCGCTGCACCAGTCTGAAGAAGACACCAATATTGGCAGCAAACCCATTAAAAGCTCGCCCTTCCCCTAGGCAAAGATCAACCACCACAACTCCAAGGGGAACCCCACAGGTGGGCTTCCTAATAGACACCTTAATGTCTGTCTCACCTCTCAAGCACCCGAGGACCGTGTGGACCACAGGATCTCCTCATCTTTTGAGCACCCAAGGGCCGTGCAGCCCACAGGGCCTCCTCACCTCTCAAGCACCCAAGGACCACGTGGATGGACCGTAGGATCATCTCTAACCATTCACCTGAGACAGCACTGCTTTCTGCCTGTAGCAGCCTGGTGGGCAGTGACAGCAGTGCCACTGGAGTGCGTCTGAAGGCGGACATGCGCGGACATGAGCGGACAGCTTGCATGCTCTCCAATGCCCCTCTTCATTCACGCAGACCCTTAATGGCACCCCAAATTCACCACTTCTTTTTCTCCATGTGTGCTCTGCTTGGCCATAAGCAGATGGGACTGTGAGAACACAGCTTCCAAGCTGTCCTTTTCAAGATCACCCCTTCCAATATTTGGGGTTTAATATTTTATATAAGGGTCATGCCATTCACCAAAGCCGCCTTTGCCGTAAGCTAGCAGGGTTTCGTGGGCAGGGGTGACCCAGCGGGAAAGCCACAGTAAGGGGCAAGGAGAGCAGACTGTGAGAAGAAAAGAGCTCGGAAGAAGCTCTCCAGTGCAGACGTCGTGATAGAACCGTATATGCTTGGACCCTCAGATTTTTTCCTAATGTTTCTCACTGTTACCAGCTAAAAGGTAGTAATGCAAACAAGGTCAGAGGTAGCCACGAGGACCTGCTCTCCACTGTGCTCCCAGCCCAGCCGAATTAGCAAGCACTGATGTGACGGAGGGTGATGTGACCTAGCACAAAGGCAAGGTTAAAAGCGCACGTAAGCGTTGCAAGGCCACGCAGTGAAATTTTATCTTCCACCCCTTTATTCCCTTACTGCCACCTTCCCCACCGCTTCAGCTACTCCAGGGGCTGCAAAAGCCTCTCAAGAAAACCACCTCCAAATGACACACACCTGCTCAGCTGCCAAGACGTGCGCCGTCCCTCTCCTGTGGCTCTCCCGGAGCCACTTCTTACCAAAGGAGGAGGATGGCAGATGGCAACCATTTCACCGACCTCTCCGGCTGGCGTGCTGAACGCCCAGAGACTTGTCGCGATTCCCACGGGGACAGCCCCAGCCCCGCCGGCAGAGCTGGAAGGCAACCTCCTGCCGTGCAAATGCAGAAGCAACGTGCTGTACGCACACCTCTGAAAAACGTGCAACCCTTTGTGCTCTGTCCCATCAGCTTTGCCCTACCAGTAAGTACAGTGTAACACAGCACGCTGCTGTTAATTAACATTAACACTTGCAACTGAGAGCGGAGCATCACGCATCCAAACCCTAAGGAACTCAAGCATCTATCTCCCGCAAGCACCTACAAAAGAAAAGCCAACCAAAACATCTACTCCTCAAAGTACTGCAGCAGAGGTGTACATTACTTCACACGGTAATTATATACAGAGGACTATGATTCTAGGGCAAGAAGATTACAAGGCTGCAAAGTCAACTGAGGTTGCTCAAATAGAAGTTAGGATGCATCAGAAATGAGGTGAGAGAGACAACCTTCTTTCCAGCAGTCTTGTGATTTTGGCATCGCTCAAGAGCACACATAAAAACCAGGAGAGGACCTCCCTGCTGATAAACGCTGGTCCAGCAGCAGCTGGTCCAGTAGCCAAAGGCCAGTGAAGTCCTGTTCTTCCAGGCCACTCACGACCCAAACAGCGGAGCCCAGGTCCGAAGGGGCA